GTGTTGAACGTAAAGGATGACTGACCTTCTTTACTTTTCTTGAGTAACCACCACAAACTTCCCCCTTCCTGCTCTAATTAGCCTCTCAGAATACAGAAAAAGCGTTGCAGTTGCTCCGAAGTCGACCGAGACATAACAAAAACAAAGGATCGGCTTCAGCATCTCCTGTAATGAGCTGGCTAAAATGCTGAAACATGCTACATGGAAGCAGCAGTCAGCTTTCTTCAAGGTTGTCAAAGCACAAGCTGCTTTTTGTGTTGCCTTTGAAACTCAACAGTGAAGGTGGATTTACATAGAAAGCGTTCACTGTCCGTGTCGGTGTTTCCACGCTGAGCAACAGTTTCTCAGTCGATTCACTGAGTCAATAAACAATTTAATAATCAAAACGTGGGTCTTTTTCAAAGCAATATAAAATGATTTGTCTTGAACTTTGTATTTACACTTCTTATTTTATAAGAAGACTTTAAATGACATCAACCTGTGCTTGCGATTTAATCCTTTTTTCACTTTAAAGGTTTTAAAGGTCAAACACTGTAAAGTTAGAGAGGATTTAATGTGTAAATTCAGCATTGCACAAAAATTAAATAAATAAAAAACAATCTGAGCTTTTGAATCTGAACTTTTTTTCCCCCCTCTATGACAGTGAGCTGTTTGTGGGATTCAATTGGTGTCACATCAACTTGAAGAAGTCCTTTGGATTTAGGACGAAATGTTTCAGCAAAAAAAGAAACCATCCAGATGACCTGACTGAACATTGTTGGATTTTTACCTAGAATATTGAGCATGCACTTTGGTGTTTTGAACCACTTTGGCATGACTCGGAGGCGGCTGTGGCTGCGTGGTTAGAGCAGTCGTCCTCCAATGTGAGAGTTGGGGGTTCGAATCCACCAGCAGTCACATGTTGAAGTGTCCCTGGGCAAGACACTGAACCCCTCATTGCCTCCGATGTGTGTCCCATTGGTGTATGAATGTAATCAAAAAGTATCCTGATGCATGCTCAATAATCCAGGTAGAAAAATCCAAAAAAGTTAAGTCAGGTCCTCTGGACATTCAAAAAACAAAACAAAAAAAAATAAAAATTGAATGTCCAGAGGACCTGACTTAACTTTTTTAGAGTAATCTAAAAGTATTGATTAGTCTCTTTAGAATGATTTGTTCAATTAGCTTTGTAGAGATCTAGTAGAGTGCTGTATGAATGGGTAAATGAGGCACAGATTATAGTGTAAAGTGCTTTGAGTATCTTGAAATAAGATAGAAAGGTGCTATACAAGTACAGTCCATTTACCATTTACCAAAAAAAAAGAAACTGTCTGGATGACCTGACTGCACATTGTTGGATTTTTACCTAGATTATTGAGCATGAATTTTGGCGTAATCTGAGCTCTTCTTACAGGTTTCATAATTTGTACAAGTAAACATTCTTACCAAAGTAAAAGTATTTAGGGTGGCATTTGTTGAACATGGGAAATTTCAGCAAATATGTCCTTGCACAGAAAAATTCATTTTACTCAAAGTAAATTTTAGTTTGCCTCTCAAACATTTGCAAACTAGAAAAATAATTATTTAATTTTCATTCATAGAAATAAATAAATTATGTTCCTGTTGCTAAGACTAGATTTATTGTATCTTGAGTACAAAAGGGATTATTTTATCTTTCCACTTGGAAATAGCTCCGTTTATTTTTGTAGAATCAGCGGCTGCAGGTCACATTTTCTTATTTGTCTACAAAATATTTTTTTATAACTGTGTTGTTGAGGCAACTTCATTATTTACATACATATTCTTGGTGTCTGTGCGTGTGTGTGCATGTGTGTAAAAAAAGTTAGCTGTGCCTACTTGTGTGTTCTGTTTGTGTACGTTTGCACAGATGTGCAGACATGGCTCTCTCAGGCCTGTGTCCCTGTGTTTAGCTAACCCCTCCTACGCATGTTGCTCCAACGCTGGCCTTTCTCAACCCACTGGATAAGACCATGAATAAACACATTCTCTCTGTGTCCATCTTTCAGTTCCCCACTCTATCTGCCGTCCCGCCAGCTCCGTTTCCTTCTGTCCGTGTACAGGATCTGACCTCGACCTGAAAACATTTATCAGACACTATCACCTTCTCTGACTCCCCAACCGCCACTGTAATGATTAAAACCACAAATCAAATCTTTATTTAAACATTTAAACTTTAGTTCCTTCTTAACTCCAATCACAGATCTTTCAGTTCCTTGTTAAATCACCTCCATAACCCACACTTGTTCAAGCTTCTACAAAAGTATACTTGCCGTCGGACACGTCGCACCGCCGTATAAGTCGCATCAGTCCCAAAATGTCTAAAAAAAAGTGGAGCATGCACGGTAGGACTTTAACAAGAATTTAACAAGATTAACACTTAAAAACAATTATTTGTTTGCCCAACATTATAGCAAAGGTATTCAGTTGAACTTTTCCTTAATAAATGCACTTTAATGGTCAAATCAGCTGCATTTCACCTGGGCGGCGCGGAGGAATGCAGCTAATTTGAAGTTTGCTCCTGGAGTTCTGGAGCGAGACGAAGGTGGCTTGGTGTGGCAAGCCAAGTGTCTCATTAATAGCCACTTTTACCTATTAATGTAACACTTAGCTTGCCATACTGCTCGAGGGCCCTTTAGCGGCTCAAAATGGTAGTGTTCAATATTTTCCATGTCAGAATGAATGAAATCTTCAGATCTCAGCCAAAAATTGGGTTATAAACATGGGGATAAAACATATATTAGTTGCTTTGGTGTATAAGTCGCAGGACTTACAGAAAAAAAAGTGTCACTTATACAGTGAAAAATACGATATGAAATACCAATACAAAAAATACTTGATCTGACTTCACAGAATTTGTTGAACTTTTTGAAAACCTTTCCAACAAAATAAAACTATTTAGAAAAGTGACAACACTTATTCTGTAACTTTACGTATTAGAGGTACTGTGCATTTAGTCAACTTTTTTTTTAAAGTAAATAACATTTTGCTACTTGAACAACTTAAGAAATCTTTTTGAAAATTATTCAGAAGACAAGTTTTAAAAGAGTAAAACGTTAACAATGATTAACATGGACTAATACTGAGTTTTATTTTTCTGTGCTTCTTTGTTTTCCCCCAGTTTTTTGCCATATTCTTTACAGATGTCACTTGACTACAGAGCAGTGTTGTAATATTTTGCAGGATGTGGATCATTCTTACTGAAAATGACAGTGTCTAGGAGACAGAGAGTGTTGTTCTAGGACTTGTATATGTCTGAGTTTTAATAGTGTCCTCCTACATGGGCAACAAAACATCTGGTTTTATGATGGATGCTGTTTTTTGCACTCTCATAACAAGTCAGATGATCCCAGTCATTGGGAGCCCAAGGGACTCAGGATCCATGACTTAAAAAACAAAAAAAAACAAGTTCCAGTTTTTCTTCATCAGGCTCAAAGTTAGTTTACTAGGCTCCTGAGAAAATATCATCATTTCAGGATTTTCTTCATGTTTCATATTGGAGTATAAATCTGCAGCTACTGATGCAAGTCTTCTGTCCACAGAGACGGAGTTTTAGAAGTATTTCTGAGCTCATGCAGCTTTTTTTTGGGTTGTATCTGTTTTAATGTAGTTTGAGCTCAGAGTCTGAAGGCCACTCGGTGTTGATTTTGGCCTCGTCTTATGTCGGCACGTCAGGGTTTGTTTGTGGAATCACAATTATTTGTGATAAATATGAACATATATGTCTTAACTTACTTTTAATTTCTTGAATTCTGCTATGTGAAACTAGCCAAAATGTTTGCTGTTTTGAACAATTTGAGTTGACTGGCTTAATGTCTTGTATTCTAAACATATTTGAGGTGTGTTTAGAAAATTTAAAATGCTTTTTTTTATTTATATGTCCAGGTACAAATTCATATTCTTTGAATTTGACGGAATAATAGCTATTTATTGGACAATGGCATTAAAAATAACCCAAAGAGAGTAATTTAAAGGAATTAATTTCCTAATCATTAGCCCCAGGCTACATGCGCAAATAACTGTTGATCTTTGATTTTGGCTACTTTTTTTTTTTTTTTTTTTACACAAACTTCTTGTTTTGATCATGTTAATATTAAGTAGCACTCGTACATGTATATTTCATGACAAAAATAAATAAAACAAACGAGATATTTATCTAAAAAGGTAACTAATTTCTGATTTTCTATTCAAATTTTACTCACAAATGTTTGATTTTTAAATGTAGATTTTGGGAATGTTCCCTATAAGAGCATTTTTCATAAAAAAAAAAAAATTAGGACATGTTTGAGAATATAAAGGCTAAAACAAATGGCAATAAAGCTAAAATATTAAGGGTGGAATAAAAAGTATACGGGAAAAAAAAAATCAGTGCTGCACCTTTAGTTCTCAGCTCATGAAAGTCCCAGTGAGAAGCTACTGGAGGATTTGATCACATGTCCAACCCTTCCCTGCATGAGAACTGTGAAGTCCAGGCATTCATACAAATTCAAATTAATGTGACTCACAGAAAACATAATCTTATTTCAAAACCACTTTCTGCAAGTATTAATGGACTTGCTCAGTCCGCTTTCACTTTACCTCCTCTGTCCAGTGTTCTCAGTACAGTGTAGCTTTTGATGTGCGTTTTTCTGCTTATTTGGGTGTTTCCCTGGCGGCAGCTCTGGCTCTGTGGCCTTCAGAGGATTCAATTCAAAGGCTGTGCAATGTTTGTGTGTTTTAGGCAAGAGGAAGCCATTACATTTACATTTCTCCGTCTACACAATATAAACTAGGAGCAGTTTGAAATACAGGTATATTTGGTTTACAACAAATAAGGCACATCAGGTTTGGGTTAGAATGTGGGACAATGTCTTTAATCTGCGCTATAGTCTGCCGTATTGTCCGCCTCTGCTCTGCGGGAACTCTGTAGGTTCCAAAGATGGCTGCCAGTTCAAAGTAAAGCACAATGAAGTAACAGATTGTCTTCTCCCCACCCCTCGTTCTTTGTCTTTTTTTAGCAGGTTCTGTTTGGAGCTCAGTTCTCTGACCCAGCCATGAGCATCATCGGGGCTGAAGATGAGGATTTTGAGAATGAAATAAATGACGTGAGTGAAGAAAAAGATTGTAAGAGTTGACATCATATGCTGGTTGCCATCTTTAAGTTTCTTTTCTTTCTCATTTTTTTTTTCTTCCTCCTTTATCAGTCACAGGGGACTGAAAGTCAGTTTCCGTACTTCAACAGCATCGAGCAGCTGAAGACTCATCCGACTCACCTGCTGGTCTTCATGCAACATGTCATTCTTCAGTTTGATCCTGCTCCCCTGGTGAGAATTACCATTTTAACATGCAGTGTTGAGTTTCATCACTCCTCCTTTTTTTTTCTTTAAGCTGAGAAATTTATGAAGGAGCTGTGTTGTATGGCTAATATTTAGATATTGTAAACAATAAAAGTGTATCATATTATTTGTATGTAGGTTTGTTGTTGGTCTGTTAAGGAATTGTAAATAAACAGGGACAAATGTGTTTATAAAACTTTTTTTCATACAAACTTGCTTTTTTCAGAATAAAGTTTTTTATTAGATTGCCTAAATCATCTTGTAAGATTATTACAAGATACTTGTAGTTATAATATTTAAAACTTTTAAGAAAAGTCTGTCTTTTTCTCCAGTAATAATTTATATCTTTGCTTATGCATAGTTTGGTGGTAGGTTCACGTTTGTATTTATTTACATACTTTATTTGCATTAAACCTTTAGCATACTTCATTGACTCTGTTCAAACCCTGTAAACTGTGCTGCAAAATGGCTATTTTAAATTAATAATTCAATCATATATTTAAAAACTTGGATGATTCTGAAACAGGTGAGTAGATCTGAGTTGCCTACACATCTGAGCAGTGAGCTGCTGATAAGTTTCATGGATTGTTCTCTTTCTAATGCCAGAGGAATAAAAACCTGCAGATGGAAAGGGTTAGTTCAACAGGCTTGTTGTTTCTGAAACCCTGTTTGACTGAATTAATGTTTTAGAGAACATTATTGCAGTGGCTTCAAGTCGTAAGTTCTCATTGTTGGGTTTGACTGTTTATAGATTTATAATAAAATATTGGGTAGTACACAATGTGGAGATTGTAACATTCAAAATGGTGTAATTTCCATTGCAGGGCTCCAGAATCAAGTTATAACATTCAACTTACAAAGACATAAAGATGAGATTAAATGGCTTTATGTTCTTGTATATAGTGATAAAATGACATTAGAAATAAAGAGTCGAGCTTTTGCAGCAACCACTGTGAAGCACTAAGTTTCTGTCAAATGAAATTATTAATTTAAATGTGTTAAATGTAAGGACTTACTGTTAGAGTGTAAAATTTTGCATCCATGTTAAAAAAAAGTTGCGCTGAACCATGTTAAGAGGTCATGAAATTTTTAATCGTGACTGCGTGTGGTTGATCAGTGTTTGTGTCCCTGACAGTTCCCAAATAAAGCATACCTGTCCTTTCCCCTTTCCTCTGCATGCAGGCACTGACTTTTCCAGGTACTGTTGCACGTTTCCCTGCCTTTCCTCCTCTCTTACCCCAATATTTATCACACCAGTACTGTTGCATTTTGCTAAATGCCAGAATTGTACAATGTTTTGTTTTACATGAGTATGTGTTATAGCCTTTGTAGTTGCCTGCTTTTGTTTTATTGTATGTGTACCCATCAAAATCCCTTTTGATGATATTCTGATTGAACCTAATTGAAATGTTATTTGTGTTGTGTGATACTGTAGCTAAAGTGTTAAACTGCCTGTAGAAGTGATTTCAGACTTAAGTGCATTTACCGTATTTTTCCACCGTACTCTTTGCACCGCCCTATAAGTCGCATCAGTCCAAATATGTCTAATAAAGTGGAATAATCCATAAATACTTCGCTTCGCCGTGTACATCGCATCTATCATTCATCACCGCTGCTGCGTCGCGTTTGTTACGCGTCACCGCTGACAACCTGGAAATGTGGGCCAGTGTTGAGCCAAAAATCGATTGGCTGGCAAATGGCGGCTGCAGGAGCATGCACAGGAGGACTTTAACAAGAATTCAACAACATTAGCACTTAAAAACAATTGTTTGTTTGCTCGAAATTATAGTAAAAGTGTGTCAGTCTAACTTTTTCTTAATAAATGCACTTTGACGGTCAAATCAGCTGCATTTTCAAAAGCCAATACCCGGAAACATGAACACGCAGAGGGCGACTCACTGTGCATTTCTTCAAAGTTTAACAAGATAACCACCTAAGAACAATTATTTGTTTGCTCTACTTTATAGTAAAGGTGTGTCTCAGTTGAACTTTTACTTAATAAATGCACTTCAATTGTCAAATCAGCTTTATTTTGCCGGGGCGGCGCAGCGAAATGAAGCTCATTTGACAGTTGCTCCAGGCAGATGATGGTGGTAGGTTATGGCATGCTGATTGTGTCATTAATAGCCACTTTTAACTATTACATGATACAACGGCATGCCTTACTACTCGACTGCCATCTAGTGGCTGAAAATGGTACTTTTCAATATTTTCAGTCAGCGTGAATGAAAATGGTCATATCTCAGCCAAAAATTGGATTATAAATATAGAAAAAAATTAGGGATGCATGATATATTGTGGGGAGTGGTGGTGCAGAGGTTAGCGAAGGTGGGCCTGTGATCGGAAGATTGCCAGTTCAAGCCCCGGTACCGACAACATCAAAAATGTGGGTGGGATAGGTGAAGCACCCACACCTGCCCCCACCCTCATTCACCCCACTCTGGGCCCATGGGCAGGGCCCTTAACCCCATCTGCTCCCTAAACAGGTCTCTCTTGAAAATGAGTTCTCGTGACTCAATGAGACTACCTGTATAAATAAAGCGTAAATGAAAAAAAAATCTATATATATTTGGCCAATATGCCGATATGTTAAAACTTATTTGGCCAATAACCAATACCAATACCGATGTATATATATATTTTTTTCCCTAGACCTACTTACAGAGACTACATAGATTTCTCTGCCGTGAAATTAAAATTCTACATTATTCTTTATGGTCTTTGTCAGTTTGGCCTGCTACCAAATGCAGATACCAAAAAGGGGGCTGAAAATGATGCAACACTATATAAATAGATAACACACATATATATATATATATATATATATATATATATATATATATATATATA